CACGGCCCTCCCCTCTGTGGTGTGGTCGCTGCGGGACGCAGAGGCATTGCAGCCCTGAGTGACTGCAGTGCCTCAGGCCACGTGGCCCTCCCTTGTGTGGTGTGGACGCTGCAGGACGCACAGCCCTCCCCTCTGTGGTGTGGATGCTGCGGGACGCACAGCCCTCCCCTCTGTGGTGTGGATGCTGCGGGACGCACAGCCCTCCCCTGTGGTGTGGACGCTGCGGGATGCACGGCCCTCCCCTCTGTGGTGTGGACGCTGCAGGATGCACGGCCCTCCCCTCTGGTGTGGATGCTGCGGGATGCAGAGGCATTGCAGCCCTGAGTGACTGCACCGTTTCAGGCTGCACGGCCCTCCCCTCTGTGGCCATGGGGCCCGTGTGCACCGTGCAGGCAACCAAGGAGGCTCGTCCCGTGTCCTCTCAGGACGCCCCGCCGTGCCCAGCTGCACCCACTCTGTGTGTTGCACTGAAACGCCATCATGCTCAGCAGGCAGAAGGGAGGGTGTGTTTCACCTGAAAGCATGTGAATTTTGAAAACCCACCAAAAAATAAGTATTCTCTAGTGTTACTATCAGGTTCGTAAAATTAGGGGTGCAACCTGTGTGTATGGCTGTGTGCACACGCATGTGCAAGGCAGGCGGGCGGCATGAGTGGGAACGAAGTGTCCATGGGTGTGAAGGAGGGGCTTCGTGTGGCGGCAGTGTGGGCCGTGAGCGCCACCTGCTGGCCGACTGTGCACCACTGGGCAGGCCCGGAGCAGCCTGGGCCGCTTTGAGACAGAGGCATGGTGATGAGTTCTCCTAGAAACCAGCAACCAGGATGGGCCCTGCCCAGGTGAGGACCGTGCCGCCGCGTGGTCGCCGTCAGCACAGACCGGCCCTCCTCTGTGTCCTGGGCGGGGGCCCCGGGTTTACATGTTCAGCCCCGATTCAGGTGCAGGCTGAAAGAAGTGTTTTTATGGCGACTTTTCACCAGACTCTCTTAAACCTTTCGTTGGACCGTGACTGCAGGTGAAAGGAGCTTCAGTTTTCATTCCTCGCCGGCAGAGGCAACAAAAGCTGCCTTCTTCTCCTGAAGGGACATAATGGGGGCGGGGGGGGTTGTGATCTGAACGAGTCGCTGTTCCGGCAGCTTTTGCGAGGCTGGTTCCCGGTGTCTTTTGGTGGTAATTGGCACTGATGAGCGTATTTCCGAAATAGCCTTTTATTCTCTGATTTGTAAGGATTTTTTGTTTTAGTTAAAAGATCTTAAAGAATGAGAACCCAAAATAGAGATGTTTGGAGAAACCGTCTCAGTACAAAACATTTAGAAAATGGCTTTGAGGTTACTTTGAATGTTTTCAGAAATTCTCCCAAACGTGAAGGCAGAGGCCCAGGAAGTGCCCCCAGGCCCCCATGCCTGGGCCACCGGGGTGTGTGCTGGCTGCACATGGGCGCTGTGGAGCCTGGGGTTGGTGCTTGCCTGCCCACCTGCCCCCTGCTGCCCCCCACCGCAGACAGGACGCAGAGGCCGTGGTTGGCCCGCGGCGGGGGGCGGACAGGCCAGAGGACCAGCTCTTGGAGGGACTGGGGGCGTCCTGGTTTGCAGAGCCCCGTGAAGGCAGTGCCTGGCAGTCCCCTTCTTCTCGTTAAATCTGGGGGGTGGGTGATCTCTCAGACCCCTTTCTGAGTGCAGCTCAGGAAGCACTTGGTGGTCGATGAGGCCCGTGTTGCATATTAATGCCCGCTTTTCTGGATGCCATCTTTGCAGGTTCCGATCATTAAACTCACCGACCAGGAGACAGAAGTGAAAGTCGACATCAGTTTTAACGTGGAGACCGGCGTCCGGGCAGCGGAGCTCATTAAGAGCTATATGAAGGTCTGTGTCACCCTCGGCGCTGTGGGCAGGCTCCGTGTGACGCTGGCCACTGGGCTCTGCGCGACACTGGGTTCCGTGCCGTGGCCGGGCTCCGTGTGACGCTGGCCGCCCCGCTCACGTGAATGCCGGGCTTTAGGCCGGCTGTGAGCGCCTTGACTAGTGGAGAGTGCAGCAGGCTCGCTCATCCTGCACCACGTTTCCAGGGGTGCCTGGACGAGACGTGTAGCGGGGCTTCAGGCTTGCTCTCCGTGGGTAGCCGTTCACAAAGCTGAGCCTGTGGGTAGAGGGCGCTGAGGTTTTCTTCCTCCTCATTATAAGCCGAAGACTGTTGGCAGATCAGGCCCTCGGGAGCCGAGTGAGCCCCGTGTGGTGGTTCTGATCTCTTCACTGAGGACTGTTTCCTGCTGACGGAGGGAGCAGGGACTTATTCCTCACGCTGGCGTGTTGTGAGCATTACCGTGTATACGGGCTGGTGGGTCCACGCACTTTTGCTCCATTGTAGCGGGAGCGGTGACGTTCTTAAGGCGGAGCCACCATCTGTGGGGTCTGACAAGGCTCCTGTTACGGACCTTCACTTGTTTCCTCCCCTCCCCGTCGCCTCCTCGCCTCCCTGTCGCCTCCTCCCCTCCCCATCGCCTCCTCTTCACAGGGCTGTGTCCACCACAGCAGTCACCCCCGCCGACAGCCCCTTCTCCAGCACCCTGCAAGTCTGACCCCTCCCCCCCACCCTCTGAAAGACCTGCCCGCCGGCTCACGCTGCTGCTGCAGACTCTGATTCCCTTTTGCCTGCTTTGCATCTTGGGTGGAGGGATGTCAGGACTGGCTGGGCCTCCCCACTACCCTGGGCCTGCCCGTGACTGCATGGACACACTCGTCTGTCTTCCCTGGGCCCCTTTCTACCTGCAGACTCCTTTCTACCTGCAGACTCTTGACAGGCCGAAGTGTGACCCGGGGTGGGGCCACACCCTGGATTGTAACGACCCCTGGTGCTTCAGACAGTTCTCAGACCCCTGAAGTGTGAGAGCAGCTGAACTGGAGCCTTCAGACAGGCACTGGGCTCGACTGGACTGTCTACGTGTGCACTCGCCATGTGGAGCGTCTTTGGAAGCGTACTGACCAATCACTAATGAATTTCTCTCCTTTCTGGGTTTACAGAAGTACTCGTTGCTGCCTTACTTGATTTTAGTGCTGAAGCAGTTCCTCCTGCAGAGGGACTTGAACGAGGTGTTCACAGGTGGAATTAGCTCCTACAGCCTCATTTTAATGGCCATCAGCTTCCTGCAGGTACGTGTGCCTCCCAGGACGCTGGGGTCCCCCCCTCCACCCTGGAGGTCCCTCTGGGGCCCATTGGGGTCATAGGTCATGAGGCAGAGGTCACCCTTTGGTTTTGATTTTAAGAACCTCTCTGGGTCTTGCTCCTCGGAGCTGATTTATAGCCAATTCAGCACTTAGACAGGGAGGCCTCGTCCAGGCCCAAGTGCATAGTGACCCAGATTCAAGGGAGAATGCTGTCCCTTTAGAAAAGTCTCAACACCCTGAGGGACGGACAGACCTATTTCCTGGTGCTTGGCTGTGTTTCTGTCACGAGTGTGTCACGGAACAAAGTTGGGTACTTTAGATGGTAATAAAATTTAAAAGCGAGCCTTTTCAGAGTGACAAAGCCTCAATATTTTGTGTTAAATCATGTAGTGTCCTTGTTATGTTGAGTAACATGATGGAAAATTTCTTAATGGAAAACCTACTGTCTTAGTTCGCTCGTGCTGCTCTAACAAACACCGCGAGTGGAGGCTTAACCAACAGAAGTGTGTTCTCTCATGGTCCGGGAGGCTAGAAGTCTGAATTCAGGGCGCCAGCTCCAGGGGAAGGGGAGGCCTTTCTCTCTCTGTCAGCTCTTGGGGAAGGTCTTTGTCATCAATCTTCCCCTGGTCTAGGAGCTTCTCCGTGCAGGAACCCCGGGTCCAAAGGACACGTTCCCCTCCTGGTTCTTCATTCTTAGTGGCATGAGGTCCCCCTCCTCTCGGCTCCATTCTCTCTTTTATATTTCAAGAGAGATTGACTCAAGATACAGTCTAATCCTGTAGATTGTGTCCTGCCTCGTTAACATAACTGCCTCTAATGATGCCTCATTAACATCATAGAGGTTAGGGTTTACAGCACATAGGATAATTACATCAGATTATAAAATAGAGGACAACCACACAGTACTGGGAATCACGGCCTTGACACGTATTTTTTGGGGGACACAGTTTAATCCATAACACTTACCTAAAGGTTAACACTTGAGGGACGAGTAATGTATAGTTATGCTCCTGTTTACATATGAAATAGTCACTAAGTTCTTTGGAACTTTAACTGTTCATTTACATTTTCTTTCCCCGGTTCTCTGTTCTCTGCAAGGCCCTGCCTGCATATTTAGGTGCACAGCGTATC